TTTATGAGATTTTAAATATTGGCAATTCTTAAAGTCTGATTACATTGAATGTTTTAATTTTTATCAGTGACTAATATGTCACTGATAAAAGTTAAAACATTCAAATATCTAATTATTTTTAAAGTCTGCTTTACATTGATTATTTTTTTTAGTTTTAAGATAAAGCTTTTTTGTTGATAGCGAGTAAAAGTTTAAAAATAGTAGTAGGGGGGAGGGGGAATTCGAAAATTAATTTGCCAGGGGCGGGGGATTTCAAAAATAAGCATCTCTTGTGTATTAAGCAAGTGAGAGTATGCTATTTGTAAACTTTGTATGCAATAAAATATTTTCAGAATAGAGTATATTAGAGTCAAGGAGAGCATAGTTGGTTGTCACAAAGTCTTTTTTAGTATTTTAAAATTGTATTTTGCAACTTTTTGAATAAACAAAGTGCTTTTAATACAGAAACTCAAATAATTCAGAGTAAAATTAAATTAAGCATGGATGGAAAGACTTTGTGTAAAGCTTTGAGGTTAGGAGAAGTATTGTACAATATAAAGTATTAAAAAACTCTGTAGAAGCGTAACCCATAAAAATGACTGACTCTACATGGATATACATCTAGTTTTTTGGCATCTATTTTTTAGTTTATGTAGGGGTTAGACCCCACAGGTTTTCTGAAATACATCACATTCATGATGTGTTTTTTGTTTCAGTTATCCAAAAGTATAGTGTGTAAAAAAATCAAAAACATATTACTGATTTATAATTTTTTATTTCTCCAATGTAGGTAATAAAGTTACTTTAGCATTTTATGTATTTGAAAACAAGTTCAAAATTAATTACTAAAGATACTTTTTTATTATAAACATATTACCTCTTTTTTTTTAGATACCTGTTGCATTTGTGTGTGTGTGTTTTTAGCATACTTGTTGCCTTAGTGTGTATGTTTTTAGCATATTTGTTGCTTTAGTGTGTACATTTTTAGCACACCTGTTCCATTAGTATGTATGTTTTTAGGACACCTGTTGCATTTTTTTTATTTTCAGTAATATTTAAATCAGATGATTTTTCTGAAAACTTTAGTTTTTCTCTTGCTCTTTGGGAGTAGCAATAAAATATCTTTCAAGTAATGATAACTAAGTATACAATAAAATATCTTTCAAGTAATGATAACTAAGTATACAATAAAATATCTTTCAAGTAAATGATAACTAAGTATACAATAAAATATCTTTCAAGTAATGATAACTAAGTATACAATAAAATATCTTTCAAGTAATGATAACTAAGTATACAATAAAATATCTTTCAAGTAATGATAACTAAGTATACAATAAAATATCTTTTAAGTAATGATAACTAAGTATACAATAAAGTATCTTTCAAGTAATGATAACTATGTTTAAAAACAAATATTTTATAACTTAAGACAAAAGTAGATAGAATGTTAAAATATTCCTTTTCCATTTGGACTTATATTATATAAAGTCCAAACACTAAATTTTTTCTATGCAGAGTTAAGTTTAGTTTGTTGGCTTATGTAAAACTATGCTATGTTTTTGTAAATATTTTTATATGCTATGTAAAAAAGATACAAGTTTTTTTTTGTTGTTGTTATTAATGTTTCACTTATGTATGTCAAATTGGAATGGAATAATCCATAACAAAGTCACCTAATAGATTTTTAATCGACTTTTAAATATTAAACATTAAAGTTAAGTGTTTTAAAGTCTGATTTCTTTTAAAATTTCTTTTAAAACTAGTTTAATCTAAAGAAATTTCAACATCTCATTAAAAAAAATATTTATAAAATAGAACTTTGAAATTAATTCAAGAAATTAAAAGTTATTATAATTATTAATAAGTTTAATAACCAAGTAATTTTTTATAACAGAGTAAATATTTAGTAAATAATTTTCAATCAGACTGCCACATTAATATTAGTCTAGTTAATAGCTTTGATGTTTTAAGAAATTTAAGCTAGTAACTATGCAAAATGAACTACTATCAGACATTTAAGGTGTTACTATCAACCAAATAAAAAATCCATAGTACCATTACATTTGTAGAATATAATTACTTAATGTGATTATGGGGATTTATGGGAGTAATCCGATAAAGTTTATGTTTATTTTGTTTAATAAAATGTGGTTGCTAAGATATTTAGGTATCCATAGCAACCCAAAATTAAAACTAACGTCACCATTGAATCCTCAAATTAATAAAAAGTATCAAAAATGGTCCTTAAATCTTTTTTATACGACAATTAATTAGTTTTGTCTGGTAAAAGTGTATTCTAGCCCACTTACCTATGGTGAGAAATAAACAAAAAACAATTTTTATAGCCTGATTACACTGAAAGTTTTTATTCTTATCAGTGACTGATATGTATATATATATATATATATTATATATATATATATATATATATATATATATATATATATATATATATATATATTTAAATATTTATATTAGGGTACATCATTTTGCCCCTAGCATTTTTAAAAATTTTAATCTAAAGTGTCTGTCCGTATTTCATTTTTTTTCCTATTGATGTACAGAGATGTTTTCCAAATTTTTATAATAATTAGACATAATCTAGGTATCCCATGCAACACTTGCAGTTTTACCATAGCAAACTGTTTCTGGGATGTACATATTGTACAATATTGAACACATTATGCATTATGCTCCACAACTTGAAGCACATCTCGATAGTGTTCTTAAGTTTTTGATGCTGACAGAAAATCAGAGCTCAGCTTCACACACCTCTCCGCACTGTCATTAATGACATTGAGTAATTCAATGTTTGTAATTACGGCTTGATAGCCATTACGGTTTGACCAATCAGATATGTTTTTGTTGAGGAATTGAGCCTCAATTTTAGTAGTTCAAACATATACCACAAATCAGTCCCCACAAGATCAGCAAGAGTTGTTGCACTTGTGATTAATTCTAGAAAGACAGGCTTTCCAAAGCTGGAACCAAATTGATTTTGTGGCGATTTTAAGTTGGATACCGGCTTAACTGCACGCAGACAATCAGCAACTTTAAAGCGTTCAACTCCAGAATCTCTTTGCTCCAGAGAGTAAGTGGTATCATTTCTTCTGTTAGATACTGCAAATGTCGCTTTTCTGGATTTTTTATCAGTTCAACATTTTTTGACCACAGTTGAAATGTCTTCGCTAAGATATCCTTCTTCTGCAGGGCCTTTTTAATCAAAGCTGGTTTTGACTTGCATGCAGACTGTATTGCTCTAATTTTAAATTAAGATGATACCTGACACATTGCAACACTTGCTGACATGTTGGAAGATGCGCTCCAGTTATTTACGTATCTTTTGTTGTGATCTTATTTGCAAGACCAAATATCACAGACAACTTCCTTGTACTTTTCTTAGAAGAAGTTTTTAGAAAATGTAGTTCTGATTGTATATCATTAGTGACATTATCAGAAATATGCGCAGGCGTAGCAGCCGCTTGTTGTTCATCTTCAATAATTCTAACTGAATGATGGACTTCTAAATTATTCATTTTCATTACATTAATTTTCATTACATTAATCTGAAAATAGTAATACAGTTATTACTGAGCATCTACAATAAGCATGCAATGTTAAACAGTATAGAAAACTTATATACACTTCTTCCCAATCTAAATTAATTGATACAAAAGGTTACATACGTCATCAAATGTGTACAGTATACAATAACCTCAAAGCCAGTTTTCTTTGAAATGGAGGTGGGACACCTAAATATATTCTGACTTTTTAAATATTTGCTCAGGGTTATATTGGTGATGAAAGAAACATTTTAAGCCTAGGGACAAACATTCTGAAAAAAAGGGTCAAAATGATGCATCCTAATATATATGACATCTCAATAGTATGATGAAATTTATAAATAAAATTGAAAGTACATCATTTACGATGACATACTATTTATTTAACTTATTAAAATTTTTTAATTTTAAATGTGATATTTGTCTCATATAATCGGAGCCATTTTCAAACTACAATACTTTACAAAAAACTCATTGTTTATAATAATAATGTCATTGCTGCATAATATTATAAAAGTTTTTCTTAAATACACGAATAGCTGAACATCAAAAAAATGTAACTAAAGCAAACAAGAAAGCCTCTGGAATTATTGAACATACACAACATTGCAAAGGTTTAATTAATGATTAATTGGAATACTCCTAAACACTTTCAGTTATCCCAAATAGTTATACTAGAAAAATCAGAGAGGCAATTGAAATAGACAGATTTCAATGTTGCTATCCAAAAAATAAAATTCTAATAGGGATAATAGTAACCTAGTGATGACTTAACATTGGAAACCATTTTTTGTTAAATTCAAGAAAAACTTTGACAATATCATGCAGCAGTGACATAATTATTGTAAAAACAAAATTTTTGTAATGTATTATAGTTTGAAAATGGCTCCTACTAAATAAGCCAAAATATCACATTTAAAATTAAATATTTTAACAAGTTAAATAAATAGTATATATATATATATATATATATATATATATATATATATATCTATATATATATATATATATATATATATATATATATATATATATATATATATATATATATATATATATATATATATATATATATATATATATATATATATATATAATATGTCACTGTAAATGATGTATTTTCAATTTTATAAATATATATAAATAAATAAATAAATATATATATATATATATATATATATACACATATATTCACATATTCTGTTTTTTTTTTAGTATACACACACATTCTGTTATACACACATATTCTGTTTTTTTTTTAGTTTTGAGGCGTTGCTTTTTTTTTTGATAATGAGTTGAAATTGTTATACAAGGGGGAAAGGGGTCTTAATAAGCTTGCGGTGTAGGTGGGGAAAATTTCCAAAAACAAACAAACATCCCCTCCTGTATGTTAGGTACCTAAAAGTAAATATATATTATGTACATTTATTATTTATTTAGCTGTTTATTTTTTAGTCTGAGCAGGATGTTCCTGAGTGGCTTGATGATATTGCAGAAACTGCGCATGGAACAGATTGTGGACCTCGAGGAGGAAAATATGCTTCAAAAGACACAAGATATAATGTACAACTAATTTGTTTTATATATATATATATATATATATATATATATATATATATAATGTACAACTAATTTGTTATATATATATAATATATATATATATATATATATATATACACACACACACACACACATATATATAAATGTGTGCATATATATGTGTATATATGTATATATATATATTCATATGTATATATAAATATATGTATATATATATATATATATATATATATATATATATATATATATATATATATATATATATATATATATATATATAGTATATATATATATATATATATATATATATATATATATATATATATATATATATATATATATATATATATATATATATATATATATATATATATATATATATATATATATATATATATATATATATATATATATATATATATATATATATACACACACACACACTATATACAACCTGCCTAACCATGCAAAAAAAAAAATGTAGAATATCTGCACCCATTATTAAATTACCATTATACCCCTATATACAAAACTTTAAGATATTTACGGAAGAAAAATTATTTTGTTTTTTGATATTTTTGGTCGTGAAGGTTCTGAATATCAAAACATTTAAAATTAATTTAGTTCCTTTTTGTAAATCTAAAACCTACTAAAAACTTCTGATAGCATTTTTATTGTATGTTTGGTGAGTAAACTATTGCTCCATTCATTTGTAAAAGATAACTTTATATATTTTAAGGAGGCATAAGAATAAAAGCCAAAAGGGCCAAATATTTGCTCAAAAATTCAATCATCTATCATTTAAATATTTTTTATAAGTTCACAGTTTACATTGAGCAGTGTGGTGTTTCCTTCAAGCTAATTACTATGCATATTACTCATTCAAGAACTTGGTGTTGACATTTAATAAATTTTGGTTCTTTAAGTTTTTTTGATCAAAAAGTAAATCTAAGTGATGATTCCATCATCTAGTTTTTATATTTGTTGTGTCTGTAACAAAAAAATTTATGCTAATCCATGTTTCTAATTTATTTGATTAACGCTTTAGTTTTTGACTTTTTTCTTTAAATTGTTTTTATAGTTATTGGAAACATTATTTACTTTCTGATTGGGTATATCTGATTCAAATGTCACTTTTGTTACTTTTAATTTTAAATTGATAGTATTGGTATTGGCAGTTTTTCCTGCCAATACCAATGCTATCAATTATCAGACTTTCATGGTATAAATATTTGTTATCGGAATGTATATATAATTTTATATTATTCATAATAATCATTTGATTTTTTAAAGACCAAAAAGTCCCTTTAATATGAAGAATGCTGCATTTCTTTCAGATAACATTTCTTTCAGATATAGTTATATCAAGACTCAATAAATAGATTTTTTTTAATTGTTTTTTTATTAGTTGTATTGACCAGAGATTCTCAGCACGATTTAATTCAGATACCTTTCAATAATCAATACCAATAATCTTTTTTGTAGCTTGTGGAGCAAAGCATTCTAAAATCTTTTCTTTAGGAATTATCTTTTTCTGGATACTTCAATTATTCCTGATATTTTTTCCAGATATCCAAAACGTTTTTCCATACATGCTATATATTTTTGTAATATTGTTAAAGCTAAAAGCAAAATTATGTGGAAAATAAGGTAAAATATATTCCAGAGATTTTACCCAAACAGTTTTCCAGATTTTTAAAATGTGACGTAGATGGTTATTATAATTATAAGCATTAAAACATCATATACGGTATCATACTATATATTTCTTTTCTCTATAAGTGATATTTCGGCTCATATAGTAAGAGCCATTATCAAACTAATAAAACCATTGAAAAAAACCGTTTAAAAAATTATAATAAACGTAAGCAAATGATGTTATTGCAACGTCAGATTTCAACATTTTTTGATTTTACAAAAAATGGTTTCCAATGGTGAGTCATCACCTAATTGCCATTGTCGCGATTTAAAACGTTTTTTATAGGTTTTGAACATTGTGCACGTTGTATTTCATTAGCCTCACGAGTTTTTCTGGTGTAGTTGTTTAAAATGATAGAAAGCGTTTGAGGGTTCTCCCAGTTTATTTTGCCATTACAATGTTGTGAGTGTTCTACTATTCCTGATGTTTCCCAGTTGGCTTTTGTAACATTACTTTTATGTTCTTGAATTTGTGTGGAAATCTTTTTTCTTGTTTCACCAATATAATCAACGTACCCTTAGTAAATTAAAAAAAGATAAAAAATTAGATGAAAAAACATATGGTAAAATATATCCTTCGGATGCAATTCCCCCCCCCCCCCCCCCCCCCCCCCCCCCCCCCCCCCCCGTTTGTATGGTTGTATTAAAGCACACAAAAAAATGAAAAAGGTTATCCAATGCGAATAATAGTCCTCAACAATCGGCACACCACCTCATAAACTTTTGCAACATCTTGTTGAGATCATACAACCAACTTTGAATAAAAATGAATGCCGTGTTAAAAATTCATCTTTCTTTTCAAGTGTCATTTGATGTTATTAATTTATACCCATCAGTACCACTTGATAAAGCAACTATTACAATTATTGATATGCTAAACAAAGATGATCTAATACAACGAACTAAGTTATCTTTAGTAGACATTCATAAACTAATTTATCTCTACATTAGTAAAAAAACACATACTGAAACTGTTTAGTCCTTATGTCATAAGAAACTAACATAAACAAAAGTTAGTCGTTGTTCTCAATTATAATTATATCTTAAACAATGTTAGTTTCTAAATGAAATAACAATAAGTGTAAACAACAACAATATAAAAAAATATAAAAACAAGAAATTACTGTCACTATTTCTACAGTGTCATTTTTTATGGGAAGACAAAATATATATTTTAAAAAACTCTGGTCCAATAGGTCTATCCATAATGGTCGTCTTGTCAGAAGCATATCTACAACATATTGAATCTAATGCTATTTAACAAGCTCTAAATGTCAATATTGCGCTAAAAACTTATAAACGTTAAGTTGATAATAGTCATGCTCGATTTACTAATATTGATGACGCAAATTCTTTTTTAACACTTTTAAATTCACAAGATAAATCCATTCAATATACATGCGAATACGAAAATGCTCAACACCAATTAAATTTTTTAGATGTTTGTATTTCAACCAATCACTCTCTTCACAAATATGAGTTTTCCATACACAGTAAAGATGCAATTACAAACGTACTTATAAAACTGAAATCATCTATTTCACCAAATATCGCTGTTAATATTTTTAGTTTTTTAGCTCGAGCATACAAAATTTGTTCAGAACGTAACATTCAGGATGAAATTAATTTTCTTATTTAGATTTTTAATGAAAATGGAGATTCCTATAAACAGTATTCAGATATTGCTAAAAATTATAAATACTCCACAAATCCATCTTGTTCTCAAAAATTTGATACCAAAAATCTAGTTATTTTACCATGGGTCCCAAAGTTAGGCCTTGTTCTTAGAAGAGAATTTCGTAAAGTCGGCGTTAAAACAGTTTTCCGTTTTGGTAATCCCTTAATCAATATACTTTGCCGTAACAAGTGTAAACTGCCTCCGAATATCCAGGAGTGTACCAACTTAATTGCACATGTGGTGCATATTATATTGGTGAAACAAGGAAAATGATTTCCTCACGAATTCAAGAACATAAAAGTAATGTTACAAAAGCCAACTGGGAAACATCAGGAATATATATATAGATATATATATATATATATATATATATATATATATATATATATATATATATATATATATATATATATATATATATATATATATATAAAATCAAGATATGTAAGATATAAAATAAAGAGAAGAAAAAAATTATATGTCCGTGGAAAAACGAAGACAATTTAAACTTGTCAGCACCGTTTTTGTGCATAAAGTATTCACATTTTTTTTATTGATCTTTATTAAATGTAATAATTTTTTTCTATATTTAGAAAATACAGGGGGGGGGGGAGGCAAGTGCCCCCTCTTGCCCCCCTTGCGGGCGCCCATGTATATATTTATATATATATATATATATATATATATATATATATATATATATATATATATATATATATATATATATATATATATATATATATATATATGTATATATATATATATATGTATATATATATATATATATATATATATATATATATATATATATTTATATATATATATATATATATATATATATATATATATATATATATATATATCATGAACATATATATATATATATATATATATATATATATATTAAAATCAAGATATGTAAGATATAAAATAAAGAGAAGAAAAAAATTATAAACAGGGGGGGGGAGCAAGTGCCCCCCTCTTGCCCCCCTTGCGGGCGCCCATGTATATATTTATATATATATATATATATATATATATATATATATATATATATATATATATATATATATATATATATATATATATATATATATATATATATATATATATATATATATATATATATTATATATATATATGTATATATATATATATGTATATATATATATATATATATATATATATATATATATATATATATATATATATATATATATATATATATACATATATATATATATATATATATATATATATATATATATATATATATATATATATATATAAAATCAAGATATGTAAGATATAAAATAAAGAGAAGAAAAAAATTATAGACAGGGGGGGGAGCAAGTGCTCCCTCTTGCCCCCCTTGCGGGCGCCCATGTATATATTTATATATATATATATATATATATATATATATATATATATATATATATATATATATATATATATATATATATATATGTATATATATATATATGTATATATATATATATATATATATATATATATATATATATATATATATATATATATATATATATATATATATATATACATATATATATATATATATATATAAAATCAAGATATGTAAGATATAAAATAAAGAGAAGAAAAA